AATATGATCAGAGTGTTTTTGACTGTCAACTTTAGACATTTTCTCTCCTAATAATAATTTGTTATTAAAACATACAGGGTAATTTCTCACTGGTATTCTGTGTTAAGATAGTATCTTTACTTTATAAATTAACTGACTACCCTATAAAGGTAATGCATTTATGCTTTTTGTTTTGTTTTAGAGCTCTACCTGTCTGGGCTCAGAGTTTATGCCCGGTTCTGTTCTCAGGGATCACTTCAGGGTTCTGGGGATTGAAATGGGGTCAGGTGTGTGCAAGACACCTTACCCGCCGTATTATCTCTCGTCCTGCCCCCATTTTTTGATGCAATGAAAGAAATCTACCCATTAACCATCTGCACTATCATCATCAACCATTGCTTTTAGTTCTAGGAATACATTTACAAGGTAAATCCCTAGCACAAACGTCCTGGATCAAAGATTACTCACATTCAATATATGTTGCTAAAATCCCTTCAAAGAGCAATTGACTGATCCGGGTTTGATTCCTCCATCCCTCTCGGAGAGCCCTGCAAGCTACTGAGAGTACCGCGCCCACACAGCAGAGCCTGGCAAGCTTCCGTGGCATATTCAATATGCCAAAAACAGTAACAGCAAGTCTCGCAATGGAGACTTACTGGTGTCTGCTCAAGCAAATCGATGAACAACAGGAGGACAGAGCAGTGGCCAGTTATATATTAGTTATAACCCTTCATATATTTTGAACATTATTCATTTATCTTATGCCGTGTGTGCAAATATTTTCTCCCATTAACTGTGTGTCTTTTTATTTTAGCCTGAGGTTTTTTTCCATTTAATTTGGAAAAAAAAAGAGCAAGTGTACCCATACGCCATCCTGTCAACCCTGATTAGGGTTTTGTCTTTACCCCGGATGTGGTATCATGGTGCATTTTAATTGCTGAGTTTTTGTTGGCACAAAAAATTAAATTTTTCATTCTTTCATTATAATCAAGGATAAAATACTCTTTTATGTTAAGTATAGTTGCATTTTGTTTTTATGTGTATCCTTTCATGCCATTTCAGAAAATTGGCCTTTTCTAATTTTCAGAAGTTTTCATTTTTGGAACATTATAAAACTGAAACCCAATCATAAACAACTTTGGACCTGTGCATCTCACTGTGCTTCAATAAAAAAGTAAATTAAAAACACAGATAAAACTTTAGTCCAGGGGGCTGGAGCGATAGCACAGCAGAAAGGGCATTTGCCTTGCACGCAGCTGAACCGAGTTTGATTCCCAGCATCCCATATGGTCCCTGAGCACTGCTAGGAGTAATTTGAGTGCATGAGCCAGGAGTAAACCCTGTGCATCGCCATTGTGACTGCCCAAAAAAGAAAAAACTTGAGTTCTTTATCTAAAATATGAGTCACAAATAGCTGTTTTTACCTAATATTTGTCATTTGATTTTACTCAAATTTGATTTTTCTTTGCCATGCTGATGTTTCTGATTTCATATGGCCCAATTTATTAATACCTTTGTCAGTTAAAGCCACTGAAACAGAAGATTAAATTTGCATTTTATGTAACTTATAACTTGCAATGTGGATTGATTTATTGGGGGGTACACACCCAGAAGTGCTCAGAGCTTATTCCTGGCTGTGCACTCAGGAATCGCTCCTATCAGGTTCTTGGAACCACATGGGGTTCTGGCTTCTAGGGATCAATCCCAGGTCAGCTGCATGTAAGGCAAGTGCCCTTCCCATTGTAGTCTTTTTCCAGGTCTACCTTGCTTCTTATGTAGGAAAAATAAACCTGTGTGTTTGGCTGTGTTTTGTCTTTTATTCAGATAGTATTTGCTGCTGATCTGTCATACGCAGGAACCCAGTTCATTCAGAAGTCAGAACTTCTGACCTAGAGATAAATACAAAGATTAGTGTGAGTTACATGCTTTAAGGATTGGACTATGAGGTCTCTGATGGTATATGTAATCCAGATGTGAGAACTAAACTGAACACTACTTGCATCCCACATTCTCATTACATGTCACTATTTAATATCCCTTGGTACAAGTCAAATTCCTCTCCTTACATTGTTTCTGTGAACAGGAGAGATTCCTTTTAGGAACAGGAGAGATATATTAGGAGAATGAGACCTAAGGCAGCCATATGAGTTGAATGCTCTACGTATTTCTTTGCTTCCGTAGGACTCCTAAATGAAATAAACTATCTTATGATCAGCTCAAACTGGGTTCATATCTTGAAAATGGAGGTATTAAGAAAACATGATATATCTTATTTCCACTACAGATTCTGTGGCTCTTAGAAGCTCTCAGGTAAAGCTGTGGAATGATTTTTAAACTCACTTGTTAGGAGAAAATGATCCGGTTACAAGTAAACTGTTTACTGATATTTATAAATTCTAGGAAAGGAAAGTTGAGGGCATTATTAGATTATACATTATATCCATAGAATTACTTTGGTGATAAGACCTAACACAGACTCATATTCTCCCTCTACTTACAAAATACAAAGGAGCTTAATTTAATAGTATGTTTACTTGGTTTTATAGCAGGATGCAAGTCAGCCAAGGCAGACAGAGAAACATAATTCACTCTTCATGCACAGATGCTGCATCCGATTTGTGCTTCTTGCTGCTTTGCCATCTCATCCACATAAGGAAAGGCTGCAAGAGATGTGAATCAATTTGTGCAGGAAACCTTAGAAGCAGCCAGATACCCTATTTCTCTGCAATATTTTATACTATCTTCATCACATTGATCCAAGTTCATCACCTATGAATTTAGTGATTAGTTATTTTGTTCATTAATGTAGATTTATTTTACTCCATACCTCTTAGGCTCAATTAAAATATAATATTCCTAGACTTGGGAGTGGCATTAATAGTAGAGATCATCACTCACATGTGTGGGGCCCAGAGTTCAATCCATGGTACTATAAAATATCAAAGAAAAGGAAAACAGTTACTGAAGATGAAATTTTGCTTTTTCCCTACAATACTGATGAAAGTAGAGGGGCTTGTGCTGAGCTCATATATCAGAAAGAGGTAAACCAGTACCAGGTGATCTGATTCATGTATGGCATATAAAGAAACAAGGTTTTGAATGGTCCAATGAAATGAAACCCTCAGACTTTGATGACAGGATTGATTTGTGACTGTAGTGTGGGATATTGTAGAGAGGGGTATTGGCGCACTAATGGTAGGATTGGGATAGTAACATTGTACTTCTAAAATATAGAAATATTCACATTCTTGTGAATCTTTGCCACCTAAATAAAAATTAATATAATTTTCCTTGTTTGGCTATTTAAAAATATGAGACAGTTGTCCTAATATATGGGGCATTGGATAGATGAAGCACTAGTGTATTGTTAAGCTTATGTAATTTACTTTTAAGATGCTCCATATTATTTATAATATGATATTATATACTAAAGTCGTATTAAAACATTTATGTGGGGCTGGAGCAATAGCACAGCGGGTAGGGTGTTTGCCTTGCATGCGGCCGACCCAGGTTCAATTTCCAGCATCCCATATGGTCCCCCAAGCACCACCAGAAGTGATTCCTGAGTGCAGAGCCAGGGGTAACCCCTGAGCATGGGCTGGGTGTGATTCAAAAAAAAAACATTTATGTATGGCTTATTTTGTAATTCTACTAATAGAATTGTATTGTGAATAATATGGAGAATTTTCCTTTCAGATTTGCGTTCTCTGTATTTGCATCCCAGTGTTATCAGTTACTTAATCTAAAGAAAAATACTTATTCTTGTTTACATAGGTATCCGGTTCATTTGAGTATCAATGATATTCATTAATATTTAATGACTTTGACACTCACTGTCATATAGAGCATTTCTCTACAAAAAAGGAACTGTGAGGTAAAAAAAAAAGACTAGGCAAAAATGCTAGGAAAGATCTAGAACTTAGACTGAAAATATAGGAGTGTGTGGAAACAGGGAGGGAACTGCACAATTCCCAATGCCAACAAACTAGAACTGGGAACTGAGGGTGCTGGGGAGTTGGTAGGGAAGGGAGCATGGAATAATGGTGGATGGATCTTGGCACAATGGTAAGGGATTGAGGTAGCAGCACTGCAACTTTGCAGTAATGCCTTCAATACTTTTGTAAACTATGACATCACAATAAAAAAGTAATTAAAAATCATCAAATCAAACAGCCAAATTCTCAACCCAAGTACAAACCCAAGTAACTCATGTCCTCTTGAGCACCATATTGGATTGATTCACAAGTAATTTCACATTTCTCAGCCCCCGAGTTGTCAGGTAACGTTGGGTTAAAATTAGTATCTGTGAGGACTTTTCACCTAGCAGATCCCTGTTAAATTCCTGAGCACCATCAAGTATGTTCCCTGAACACAGTAAAATGTAAGCCTTAGCACCACTGCATGGGCATGTAGCGTGGCACACAGTGTAAAATCTTTGTCGTTGTTGTTTTAACACGACATTATTCTGGTATATCCTACTCACGTCAGATGTTATTTTATGTTTCATTTCAGTGGTATGATTTTATTGTACTTATATTACATCTTACACTAGATCGTGGAAATCATTATTATCTTAATAATTTTCCTGGTACCTAAAATGGTTCCCTTGTACAATTTTTCTTAGAGGCATGTACAAACAGTGTCTGGTAAATAACATCTTACTGTTATGTACAGTAAGTGAGTGGTTAAGTGAAAAATGCGTTGTTTTACTTTTCTTTCAGTTGGAATTGAGTATGCATTTGTGTCAATGTGTATTTTGTTTCGTGGGTGTGTTTTTTCCTTATGTGTATTTTGAGTTCCAAAAAAGAGCCTTGGGTATCTTAACATAGAATTTGTTGAATAGACTATGAATGAACAATTTGTAACACATGAATGAAATCTTATCATGTAATATATGTAAATAATATTGTGCTATTCACATACTGACATCATTTCATTTTTATTACATTTTATAAAAATAACTTGAAAAAAAGTTTTAAAAATTTCAAACCATGAGAAATTGTTACATATTTTCCCCACAGATTTCAAGGAATTTGCCTGAGAGACAAGGAGAAATTGAAGCTCACATAAAAGACCTTGACCAGCTTGATGATCAAATAAATCATCTGCTTCTATGGCTCACTCCTATTAGGAGTCGATTGGAAATTTATAATCAACCATATCAAACAGGACCGTTTGACATTAAGGTAGGGTCTATATTTTCTGCTTTAAATATTGTTTTCCCAATGAGTAACATTCTCACTAAACTGTTTCTCATTAATAGCATCATCACTGTTGCTGTACTGACAGTAGTACTGATAGTGGTAATAGTACTAATACTTGAATAGCAGTTTCAATTTTCCTTCCAGCATTTACAACCTGTATTATATTTCTTAAATATATCACTAGAATGCTTTCATCAGGTTTCTCCATTCCCTTTTTTCATTACCAGTTTAATTGTACTTGAAACATATTTATAGACTTGCTTTCTAAAAATGGAGTCACTGAAGATACTAGGTATCTAGGAAATAAAGAATAGACACTTGAGTAAATACTATGAATCCTTCTAAGATTGATTCCCATATGCCATTTATTCTCTTATTTTGGAAGCAACCTCCACTTAAATTTAGTCACAGTAAATTACATGGCATCATCATATGCATATTGTTTCATGCCATGTTGTGTTCTTGAGTTTTGTTTTCAAAATGACTGTTTCTTCCTAGTTTTATGTTTTGATATATGGTGAGTTTTCCTACATTCATTAAGACTTAGTATAAGACTTAGTGTTATTGTCTCTTTAAAACTTTATACCATTCCCTGAGTAGATTTTTCTAATTCTTTGTTTATTGATGTACCTTTAAACTTTATAGAAATGAGTTAAACTTTGAATTCATTGGGCATGTTACTTATCTCCTCTGCCCCTTAATTCTTAACACCTCCACCCCAGGGCACTGTGTACACTATAGCTTCTTGCTTTCAATTTTTGAACCTAGAAATGAAGGCGCAATAAGCTCTCTTGTTGGTAATGAAATGTTGCAGATATGCCCTGGGCTCCCCAAAACCTGCCAATTGGATGACACCATATTCTTCTATTAGTTTCCCAGCGCATACTCTTTATATTTCCTTTCACTTCCAGAAGTCTGTTTTGTATCACCCTAGGTGTAGGCCAAGAACATTAACTAGCCAATCCCATAAATTGGTTCATTGGAAAAAAGATCTGCTAGTGAACACATGTAAAATATTTTCAGGCACAATAACTGTACTTTTTGAGTAAAACTTAGCTTTTTCATCATGGGACCAAATAGTTCAATTTATTTGCTTTTTCAGAATTATTGCCACCTAAACTTTTTGTCTCTACTATCTCTTTTGCTAAAACAAGGTAAAGATGAAAATGTGAGGATTCTCTAAAGGAAATAAAAGTGAAAATTGAAGCAGCACCTTAAGTAAGAATAGGAGAAAGCGGGTGGAGAGGTAGTCTAAGAGTTAAGGAAACGCCCGAATGTAGCAGCTACAGCTAACTCTAGCTTGATCCCTAGCACTCCCTGTAGTCTCCTGAGTACCACTGGGGAAACTCCTCAGCCCCTGAGTACTATTTACTGTGCCTTCCTAAAATAAGGAGAAACAGATTTTTACTTTCTGGTATTTGGACCACACCTAGAAGTTCTCAAGCTTGCTCCTGTTTCTGTGCCTGGCGATAACTCCTCATGGTATTCAGGGTACCATCTGCAGTGTTAGGAATCAAATGCAGGTCTTCGGCTTGGAAGGCATGTAGGTGCCTTAACTGCTGCATTATCTTTCTGGCCCAGGATAAATGGTTTTACTACATTGGTTACATTTGTAAAGTACACGTCAACACTTGTTTTTGTAGTACTGGTACACACCTGGTAGTTCTTTGGGACTTCATCTGGTGAACTGCTTATGGGTGGTTGGGTCTCTCGCTGTGCAGGGGGCCAGGCTGTGCAGGAGATTGAACCTAGGTCTCCTGCATGTAAATCATATGCACAAACCCTGTGAACCATCTGCACTGCTGCACACTCCCCTACATTGACCTTAATCTCCCCCCCGACATTTATATCGAGCATATAATAATATAATAGCTGCTCCAAAATGAGGTTACATATTGTATGAGACAGTAGTATATATTACTTCATCTGTACCCAACCCAGACAGCTAAAACATTGGCATACTGTTGGGTTCAATGGAATGATTCAACGCAAACTCAATGTGAGTTCATTAATTCAGCTTGACTCATAATAGATTTTACCCAGAACCAAGTAAGTCAACTTTAAGAAAATATGCAGGACCTGGAGATCTATTTTCTGGGGGGCCACACTTAGCAGTGCTCAGGGCTTACTCCTGGCTCTGCATTCAGAAGTCATTCCTCGCAGGATCTGTGGGACTATATAGGATGCCAGGATTGAACTAGGGTCAGCAACATGCAAAGGAAGTGCCCTATGCACTATACTATTGCTCCTGGAGGAACAGGGCCCAGAGCCAGTGTTATATCAGTACTGTGGGAAAATTGTATAAAAAAGCACAGACTCAATGTCACTGGAAATGTCAGATCTAAATTATAACCAGAGAACATTGAAATGTACTTGTCAATGTGGCAGGAGGGAGCTTGGTGAAAGGAAGTTGACACTGATGGTGGGATTGGTGTTGGAATATTGTGTGCAAGCTTCCAATACCTTTGTAAATCATAGTTCTTTAATTTAACATTTTTTTGCTTTTTTGGGTCATAATCAGTGATGCACAGGGGTTACTCCTGACTTTGTACTCAGGAATTACTCCTGCCAGTGCTCAGGGGACCATATGGGATGTTGGGAATTGAACCTGGCTCGCCCCGCATGCAAGGCAAACACCCTACCCACTGTGCTATCGCTCCAGCCGCACATTTTATTAAAAGAGAAACTAGGCAGGAAAGTATCCTGCACAGTGATGGCACACTGGTAATCTGGGTACCAAGAGCTGCCTTCTAAAGCACCCATCACCTGCATTTGGACCACAGATGAGTGTGGGAGAATGTAAAGCACATTAAGGAAAGCCATCAGTTACTCTACTTACCTTGTATAGGGTCCTCAGCTAGAAAAGTGCCTATTCCAACTACGACACTGTCTCTCATTAGGACAGACCTACGGTTGGTCTGTGAACAGTCTCAGTGAAGAAATACAGTAACATGATAACATAGTGAATATTCTTTTCGAGATTCTTATTTATCTTGGATAATAAGTCTAGCATATTGTGAAATATTTCTTAATCTAGTACTGCAAAGGGGAAGTGCCATTGACTCTTGGTAGCTAACCATAAGTAGTTTCGTGATGTACAGATTTGGTTAAAAGCTCACTTTTTTTACTTTTAAATATAATTTGTGCCTGCTTCTTGATGAACATAATAAAGAATACATTCAGTGTGAGCTATCCCTGGCCATGACTGATACTTAAGAGGAAAATATTTTTTAAAAAAATCCATGGAGATAAATAGATATCAAGCCAAGTGATTTTGTCCCAAGCTGTACCCCCCCTGGAACGGTTTGCAAATAATGACAGTTTACATGGAGTCTGTGTTTGTTCATGGCCCACAGGTGCTTGCCAAACAGATCCTTGCAGTTTGGAGTAAAAGCAATTCTTGGCTGTGTTAATCACTTTCCTTTATCAAAGCTCCATGTCACTACTCACTGCTGTATACAGTTTTGGAGTGTCATGATATGTGCCTCCTGCAGTTTAGTTTAAATCGCCGATCAGAGAGGCAGCTGCTTTTTTCCTGGCAGGAAAACTCCTTGGCATCAATTCTCTATTCATAGTTTGAATTTTCGTCTCTGGAGTGCAGATTTCAGAAATATTCCTTTCCTCATTTTCTTCAGCTTATAACTGTGTTTGTGGCAAAAAAAACTCATAAAAGTATATCTAGGGTGACTGCAGAAATTCTCAGATCTGGCTTGTAATCAAGAAATAGTAACCTGTGTGAATAATATACTAGCTTACCCAGTTCTTTATCCTTCCTTTGTTTAGCTTCTATCTGTATCCACTCGTCCACTGAAGGATTGAATAAGATTGCAGATTTCTTCTGCTCCATGTGATTTTACTCAGTGCTCTCTGCTATAGCCCTCTGCTTTTAAAGACACTAAACCTTTTATTTCAGTTAATGAAATATGGCAAAGTGGACTTAGTTCTGCTTTGTTTTAAACGACTAAAAGTTATTTTTAAAGTTCTGAGGAGGGGCCCATTTAAAAAATCTGGGCCACATATAACTGTGCTTCTTACTCCTGACTCTGCAAACAGGAATCACTCCTGATGAGGATCTGGGGATATGGTATTAAACCCAGGAGAGCTGCATGAAAGTCAAGTGCATTATCCACTCTACTATCTCTCTGACCCAACATACATATTTTATCAGTGATAAAGAGGCACTTAAAAATCCCTATGAGTGGGCTAATGCAAAGAGAGAAGATACACAAGCCACTTCTATTTTTCCAAATTTAATGAAATTTTCTTTGTCCAGCATTGGGTACTTCTGAAACTAAAGGCCTAGGGCCTTGCTCACCAAGCCATTTATTTTTCTAGACACTCTGAGCACCTGCTTAAAACAAAACTATGTAATACCCTCTCTGAGCCTCAGTTTTGCCTGGTTGGCACTTCATGCTTATTGATGATATGCAGCTAGCTGTGTAATGAAACCCAAATTTTTTTAAAAAGCCTTAAGGGCTCTGTTCTAATACATTGTTTATACTGGAGTGAAAATTGACTGCACATCGCTTGGTTTGTGCAATTTACTCCCAAAATATTCCTATTCAGGAAATCCTGCAAATAGCAATATTCATCTTGAAAATCACCTCCCAGAACCCTTAGCAAGCTGAGAAACATAATCAATGAGATCGTGATGTAGAGTGTGAAAATTAGGCATAATCACAGTCCTTTCCCATCAGTCAGTTCACTAGAAGGCATGCCTTTGAAATTTGATTTTCAAATGCACTCTCAATTTAGACATGAAATATGTTGATTTCAGATTTCAGCACTGATAATGGAATGCTAAGAAATAGGGACCAGTTAAAATTGTTGAAAAGGGTCCTCTGTGTTTTAATCTTTAATAAACATGTTCAATAACAAGCTGGTGGTGCCCTATTTTACATACACCAACAAGACTTCTGTTTCCAAAACTTTTTATTAAAATAAAAAGTAGAGAGCAAAACCTCATTTTTTAATGGGGATTC